CACTTTAGATTTAATATTTATTTAACATTATTAACCAACTTATAATCATTATTAGAAAGGCACTACAATTTATCACTTTTAACTATTTATAAAATATTCTTTGGGTTGTTTAAGTTAAACTAAAATTTATATTTAAGTCGACCATGTAATGTTATATTTAAATTAACAATTTACGTATTTTATACAAATTTTTCCAAAATTGTATCTTTAAAATGATAATGGTTTACATCCAACCATATATTAAAACTAATAAATTAAGTATAATATGTTAAAAGTTAAAATACATAACTTTATAAGTAGAAGTAAATATATTATTTTAATATTGAAACTTAGTTTATATATGATTACACTTTAGGCTTGGTATTTATTTAACCTAACTAACCAAATTATAATTATTATTAGAAAGAAATTGAAAAGTCATTGGAGTTTCAAATAAATGTGGTGAAAGAAAAAATACATGGGAGTTTCAAATAAATGTGGTGAAAGGAAAAATGTTTTCTTTATTAGTATATAATGATAATGATATAATAATAATGATATGTCATGAATGCAGTAAGTTTCTAGCATTAATTCATTTTGATCCAACATAAATAAAATTATAACTAAACTTTCAAGAGTAAACCAAAATTATCTATCTGCTTTCAAGAATAAGCCAACAATAGAACCGACATTTATGAAGATGATAACCAAAATTCCAAATCGATTTACCCCCCAAAAAAAAAACAGATTTATTTTCCCTAAAAATCCAATCGACTCGTAGAGTGAAAACCCCATCTGACTCGCCGAGTCACTCATCCGACTCGCTAAGTTTACGACAATCTTCATCGGATTCATCGAGTTGACCATGCCACTTGTCGAGTCCCTTCAATCCTTCATCCATATGGATGCTTTTTAAGCCATGCAAAGGCTCCATATTACAGATCCAGCTTCCCAAGGCATGCTTATCACTTAAAGTTGCAAACTTTACGTGCATGCAAAGCTCTAAAGCCTTAAAATGACAAAACTAAGCTTGCAAAGAAGTCTTACACTTGAGGGGAGGTTCATACTTGCCAAAGTTGGCCACTTTATGGACTTAGAGACCAAAAAGAGCTCATATCTAAGGTTGCAACTTCAAATCGTAACTCAAACACAAGAAAAGCTTCCTAAAAACAATCCAAAAGAGATCTAGGAAGAAATGAGCCAATGTAACAACTTAATACCTTCAAAAAGGGTGTCCAAGGAAGTAGATCTCTGATTTCCCCACAAATTCCTTGTTTCTAATCACTTGTTTTCCCAAGCTTCTCACCAAAATCCTTCTTTAAATCTTAACACACCAAGAAAGCACACACACACGTTAATTTAGGGTTTGGAAAGACAAGATGCAGAATAGGGGAGGCTGGGGAGGCTAATGATCCTTTAAATAGGATGCAAAACCCTTTATATCCTTTATATCCTTTACTGTACATTCCCCCAAATGTTTTGCCAAACAGTACAAGATGTTGCAGAAAGTGTTGCGCATGATAATGCACCACAAGTAGAACACATCAAGGTTCGGAACCTTATCATCATCTTTGCGCATGTTGATGAAATTTGCAATGAGCCGGTGGATTAAACGTTGAATCGGTGATCTTATGCTTCCCTCTTGGGTAGCGGTTGGAATATCCACACTATTTGCAATAGTAGTCCACCAATTTTCTCCATTTGTTCCATCTAGGAACACCTTATGACAATTATCTAAGAAAGTCCCGAAAGCCACGGTCTTGACCACCAATTGGTCATATAGGCCCATTCTCCAACCCAACTCAGCCATACTGCACTCCTAATACTCACCAAGACAAAAAGTCAAGGCGTTAGTATCATAATAATTATCCCCGCCTCGGAATGTAACAGTGGAAAAGAACTCCAAACGCAGCTCTTGATACATCAACTCCTGCATCCAGAATAATCCCCTCCACTCATCATATGTAACTTGTACTTCCATTTTGAACGAAGACTTTGGTTAAGTATGGTTTTAGGGCCTCCACCAAACCCACTTGATCTATCCAATTCTAGTTCAGCTCGTTTGGTACATAAAAATCTTTTGACTTGAGTGTTTCTAGCCTTTTTCTCCACCTCACCAAAGTCGCATTTGATCCAATTTGCTAGAAGTTGAACCAAGGGAAGTCCCCTTGGCTTCCTTGAGAACTTTGGCCTATTCTTTTAAACATCTTCTGCAAAATCAAACACAAGGAAAAACCACACAAACCACAAATCTGGAAAACAACAACATGGACTCGTCGAGTTCATGAACGGACTCGACGAGTCTGATGAACAGTTCGGGCCTCTCTTACTGATTCGAACAAATTCAATCCATTATACCCAAAATTACTCCAGGGGTTTGTTCAGGGTGGTAAACCAAGCATTAATTCACAAAATTGTTTAGTAAAAACACTCTAAATTAGCCTAATTCAAAACCCTAACATAAGAAATCTTTGTAGCATCGCCAATGTGTTTGGAATTAACAACAATTTCTTCAAGAGTAGTAGTTTCCATGTTAATATCAAGAATAAGGTTATCGAGAACATACTCTTTATTCTCACAATGAATAGTCATTTTCAAATTACGCATCTAGTCCATGTAGTTTAGACAAGTGAGTTTTTCTTTTGAGAGAATTGATAGAAGAGTGAAGTTTAAACTTTGAGCGGTTGGAGGAGGAGGAAGAAGATCACCATTTCCAGACATCTATATATAAGAGAGAGTTTTAGTTTGTTGATTTTAATCCTTAATATATTTTAACCCCAAAAGTTATATATAAGGATATGATATATATTTTCAATTCGAAATAAGAAGAGGGATGCTTTAATCAAATTGCGAATATATTTTAGGTTAGTAATAGACTTTACTAGTTTCAAGCACCGTGAAACTCCTAGATCTTTGAGATTCAATGAACGATCATTGGCATATTTAATCTCAAATTATGCTCTTACTTTTGTGATTGGGATATCGAGGATCACAAACAATATGTGAATAGCAGTGCAAACCCACGTGACACCCTATTTCTCATTTACGATCTCATATTAACATGTCGGTTAATCACACACACTTCATCCACAATCATAAAACTCGATTTGTCTCATCCTTTATACTTTCTAGTCCCAAATTAGTGTGTCGGTTAACCACACACACTCCACTAATGACTCACAAAGAAATGATGTGCGATTTCATGGATTAGTATACAAGCTCACATTTTTCCAAGGTAACTAGATTGGGAATTTTATTGTGTTCTAGTACTTTACGTTACACTTTTAACGAGGTTTACATCCTATCAAAACCCTTTTGGCTAACCACAATCCACCACACAAAAAAGCGGTGGGTGAAAAGGACACTCATTCAACAATCATTTTATAGGTTGTTTCCTTATACATCTCTTATAGAATGACTTCATGAATGAGACTTGATCTTGGTTTGAGTGACAAATTATAATTCTTTTACATTTAGTATTATATGCTCTAATAAATATATGTAAGAGTGTATTTTAAACTATTTAAGAATACAATGTTAAATCTTATTAACTTAATTAACTTTTAATTAATTAATATTTAAACCATTTAAGATTTAATAGCTATCTTTTAATTAAACATTTAATTAATTATATTAAATCTTCTAAGAATTAAGTAATTATCTTAATTAGACTTTTAATTAAATAATATTAATTCTTTATTTTCATCCTTGATTTTTGAATTAGGGATTATCCAATCATCTAGTTTAAATGTTTAGATTTTAAGAAAATAAAATAACCATTTATCTCTAGTAAATATCCTATAATTTAAAAAAGGTAAGAAAGACTTGAAACCCTAATTTCCAGTAGGGTGTGTTGCGCCTACGATTAGCAATTCTTTTTTTTTCTTTAGTTCTTCACCAATGCACGTATTATAGAAAATTCTACGCTCTGATGTCGCTGGTGAGTTTTCTTGGTTATAAAACAAAAGATTTACATAATAGAACCATGAAACTATTTTATGAGCTTATGCAACCTAGAGATCCATGTCATTTTATCATTATAACAACATATCATGAAAAACTAATCTAACATATGT